TAAAAATCTATTTAAAAATTTTAATAGTATATTTTTTATTGTATTGACTTAGTTTACATTTTTATACTCTCATAATGGCAAAGTATCTTGAGTCACATGACCAACAAGAACACTCTATTAGTGGTAAGTTATGATAAAAATATTTTCATTGTTTGATAACAGCAAATGATTTGAATTTCTCTTAAACTATACATACTTCCAAAAATAACCATTTACTTAGTACCTTGTCACTGGCAAATAATAGGAAAAATTTCAGCAAGTTCTATTAGGTTTTGCATTTGCTGACCACAACTTGTAAGGGTTTACTGTCCAATTTAAGCAAACAATTTTATGTAAAAATTAATTTCATTTGCAAAAATTGCAAATGAAATCAGATTTTGTTAATATATGCACTTTAATAAAGCAGGTCGGAACCCTGAAAATAAATAAAAAACACAGAATATTTAGCAGCCGAATATTTGGTGCTTTGACCAAGCACCTAACAGAAAGTTTTACTAAAGAGCAATATAAGCAAATCTATCCGACAGAATCACAACCAGCACATAAATATGGTCTACCTAATAAATATAAAAAATTTGAACAAACTCCAAATTTCAGACCTATTATTTCTTAAATTAATGACTATAATTATAAACTATGCGTATAATTATAAACTAGTTTATTCACTAATATTCCATTGGAAGAGGCCATTGAATTAGCAGTTTTTAAATTATTAACTAAAAATTTCTAATGCGAATTTTAAAAAATGATTTAGGTTTTCAATCTATTATACACTTTTTTTGTTTTGTGGTAAATTTGATATCAAATTGATGGTGTAGCTATGGGGTGTAGCTATGGGGTCTCCACTTGCTCCTGTTTTATCCAATTTATTCATGGGGAACTTAGAAAGTAATAATTTTAATGAATTTAACGGGAATAAACCTTAGTTTTTTAAAAGATATGTGATGATATTTTTGCACTATTTTACTCAAAAACTGATAGTATTTAAATTCTAAACATCCTAATATTTTAAAAACATTATAGTTTCGAATATCTATAATTTTTTTAATATTTATAATTTTAAATAAATTATATTGAAAAGATGTATAGTTCTTTAAAATTTATACACTGTTACTTTTTGAGTAAGTTTGTTTAAAAGATATATACTCTGTTCTTTTTTGTTAACAATTTATGCTTTTTATGAAAAATAAATTTTGTTAAAAACTGGTTTCCTTTTTACTAATAGGTCCTGCCCAATTAAACATTTAAGAGTTTTTATTTCCTTCAATAATTATGTTTAACTTAAATTTGTTTGATTTTTTATAATCTTTTCTTTCACTTAATATGAACTCTTCCTCAACTTTCTTTGTCGTCCAAAAACTAACCTTTTATATAAAAATTTGCTTCTCAAGTGCTTGCGGATTTGTTTTATTATTAAAAAGTAGTTGTAACTCATTAATAAATGTTTATTTTTTAAAATTGGCTAATACTGCGCTAGTGGATTTGTATATTTTTTTTTTAATACTTTCTTTTTAAAAAAAAAATTTTTTAAATAAAATTTAAAAATATAAGTTACAACATAATTTTGTCTAATATTAATATAAAAATATATTACATATGTGGGAGGGTGGAAATGCAAAATAGGGTGGCAATGCAAATGAAATATTTATACTATATCTTATTTTACTTTTATATAAAAAAATTTTATCCTTTAAAAAATATATATTTAGCTCCTTTAATCCGGCTTAATAAGGGCGAATTGGCATAAGTGCAAACTAGCATGAGTGAAATAACAATTTACATTAGGCCAATATTTGCAATTTTATTCGGCACACTTATACCAGTTTGCACTTATGCCAATGTTTGCAAATTCTTTTGGCTCACTTATGCCAGGTCGCTCTTGTGAAAGTTTTTGTAACTGATTTGCACTTATATCAATTTGCATAAATGCCAGTTTGTACTTACACCATTTGCACATTTAGCTCAATTTAATTTCAAATGTCTTGACATTGCTAAATATTGTGACTCTCTGTAAAAACTAAAAAGTAGAAAAAAAATATAGCAAAAACATTTGCTAAAAAATTTAATACTTTATAATCTTTTTTTTCACTTAATATGATCTTTTCCTCAACTTTCTTTGTTGTTCATAGCCCGCTAAAAACTAACATTTTATACAAAAATTTACCATAAAATTGCTTGTGGGTTTGTTTAGAATGGTCATGTTAATTTTTTAACAAATCTTTTTATTTTTAAAATAGGCTAATATTGCTTGTGGGTTTGTAAGTTTTTTTTTAATATATATTGTTCTCTTCTAAAAATAAATTTTTTTATTTTAAAAATCGGCTAAGATTGCTTGTGGGTTTGTATTTCTTTTTAAATCTTTTTTTTAACATTTTTTTTCGGAAAAATTATTTTTTTAATAAAACTGAAAAAGTAACTTACAAAGTTATGTTAACTTTGTTTAATATTAATATAAAAATATAATACATCTGTGGGAAGATGCGGGTTGCAATGCAAATGAAATATTTGTACTTTATGTTATTTTACTTTTATATAAAATTTTTTTATCTTTTAAAAGAAAAATATTCTGCTCCTTTAATCAGCAAATACTCCGTTTCTTTAGGATAAAAAGCTCGACTTAATTACAAATGTTTAGAAAAACGCATTGCCAAATATTGTAACTCTCTGTAAAGACTAAAAAATTGAAAATAAATTTTTTAATTTAAATTTAATAGTTCCGTAAACTAAAGATAGACAGGTATTTTCTAAATAAACCTTGCGCAGACCTGTCAATCTCTAGTTTACGGAACTATTAAATTTAAACTAAAAAGTTTATTTTCTACTTTTTAGTTCAAAAAGATTATGTTTTTAACAAATGTTTTTACTGTATTTTATTATAAAGGTAAGAATACAAAGTGTTACATAAGTTTTAGTAACTTTCATTAAGTTTAAGACTTATGGTATAACTTTTAGACAATTATTTGTATATGTTTTCTCCATAATAAATAATTTTAATGTTTTACGTATTGACCTTTTTTTCTTTAAATTTTTTTTTTTTTTTTAAAAACAGTTCTCGATGTTTTAATATTTCCAGGCTTCTTCAATTGAAGCAAATATATGATAATTTATAAATGTTTTCTATTAATAGTTTTGTATTTACTTATTAATTGTAAATCTTGCATTAAATGCGTTTCAAAGTAATGAAAGGTATTTTTTGATGGAGTATTACATTTCACTGTTCAATGCTAGTAGTATTTGTTGAGCAGACAGGCCTTATAATTTTTTCAATTTACTTTATTTATGAGTTCTTATTTGTAAAAATTTTGTAACTTTTATTAATTACTTTTTATTGTTTTTTTGATTAAATGCTAAAAATATTTTGTCAATAATTATTAATAATAACTACCTTAAATATATAACATTACTCAGTTATAAAGATTATATCAGTTTATTTAACTTTAGTTTAAGTTCTTGATAGAAATATGTTGTCTTTATACATTGCTATATTATTTTAAAACATCTCATTTAAATATGACTAATAGTAGAGGTAGAATATAATTAGATCATTATATTATACTCGGTTTTATTTGCTTACACTTTATCTTAGGTATGTTAAGAAAGAAAACTCAAAGTTTAATCTTAAAATAAATATGCAACTTTTAATAAGTCAAATTTAAGTAAGTACAATAAGTTGGTTGTTTTTCTTATATTTAATATTTAATAGTTATATACACTTATATTTGACTTGTATTGATTGCTTTTATGTAATTTTAATTGTTATGTAGCTGCAGCTTCTTCTGCAGATAGATGTACTTGACTCATTACATGATTAATTGTTTTTATTATTATTATTTTTTTACTATTAGATTTCTTTTAAGTAGTATCTTCCCTCTAAATAATTATATATTGGGTTGGTAACTAAGTAATTGCGAATTTTACTCATAGATGGCTTTAGTTAAATTTTTAGGTTTGCTGATATAATCGAAATGTCTAACACACTTTTTATTTGATATTTGGTACTTCAACTTTCAATCAGTAAAATTTTTTTTTGATTGGTTGTTTAGTTTTTGTTTGGAGTCTGTTGAAAAATAGAAAAACAAAACAAACATTTTTGTCATATTTTACTTTTTTATTTCTGGAAAGGAAAAAACGCATCTCAACCTCACAAAAAGTTATGCACTGTTTATGGTGACGAAGCTTTAAAAGAACAGCAGTGTCAAAATTAGTTTGCCCTTTTTGTTCTGGTAATTTTTCACTCAAGGATGAAAAATGCTCTAGTTGTCCAGTTGAAGTTGATGACGACCAAATCAAAGCAATAATTGATTCGGATCGCCACAGTACAACATGTGAAATTGCAGAGAAACTTCATGTATCACATACATGCATTGAAAGTTGCTTAAAACTACTTGGCCATGCACAAAGACTTGATATATGGGTTCCTCATGAACTGAAAGAAAATCATTTAACACAAGGATTAACATCCACAATTTGTTAAAAAAATGTAATCAAAATAATCCATTTTTAAAACGATTGATGACTGGTGATAAAAAATAGGTTGTTTACAGCATACAGCAATGTCAATTGGAAAAGATCGTGGAATAAGCCAGGTGAACCAGCTCAAACAACATCGAAAGCTGATATTTATCAAAAGAAAGTTATGTTATCAATTTGGTGGGATTACGAAGGAATTTTCTACTTTAAACTTTTACTACCCAACCAAACAATCAATTCATATGTTTAAATTTAACAACATAACATAATTGAACAATGCAGTTGAAGAATAATTTTTGCCAAACTGATGCCAACCTCAAAAAGATTAAGGTTGGCAAGTTATTGCCGACCTCATTTTTTCTAATTCCAAGGGAATTAGGAAAAATGAGGTCGGCATATATATATATGTATATATATATATATATATATATATATATATATATATATATATATATATATATATATATATATATATATACATATATATATATATATTTATGAGGTCAGAAATTTGTATATTATCTACTTACGATCCTTTTTTGGCTCTGCATCCATAACCCGTTCCATAAGCAGCTTGATTTCTGAATGCTGAATAACCAACACCAATCATATCGCATTGCTTTGCATCTGTACTGACTAAATCGCGAGGTATTATCATCCACTTTGAAATTCCACTCTGGTAAGTTTAATAAAAAGTTTTAAATAACTTTTGCAATTTATAACTCATTAACAATAACAAAAAATCTTTCTATTAAAATGATTTATAACAAAAGAAAATTAGATAAAAATAAAACAGCAGTTTTTCAAAGCAAATGATCACTTTGACAAAAATGAAAATCTTTGAAAAATCACTCAATCAATTAAAAAGAAACTACAACATCCATATGCAACCCCAATTAATTTTTTGAAATATTTTTAGAATATGTTTTGAATAATGTGCATCTATCAACAAACTCAGTCTGATGATTATTTTATTAACCAGTTTAAATTTACTCTAAACAAGGTTGTAAGCAACCACTTTTAAATTTGAAATTACAAGTAAACAAAGAAAGTTTTTAGAGAATAAAGGGACCAATGCAATAAAAACATGCAACTTTTGTCAAATGATGTCAGAAAAAATGTATTTCGGTTAATAGAACAAGAGATAGAAGCTTATTTAAACAGTGACCATGATAGTATTTTCAACAATGTAACAATGGCTCATGTTTGACAGGTAGAGCGGGTCTATCTACATCTACAAAATACTTTTGGACTTTTCTAGGAGAGAAAAAGCATCCAGATTAGCAGATACTAATTTTTCAATTAGCAGATACAAATTTGCAATCAATTGCATATATGGTTTCTATGAGAAGTCAGCAATGAATGATAATCTGAAAAGACTCAGTAAAAGTGTTGCTATTCATCAAAATAGAAATATCAACAAAATTCTAACAACTGTATGGAGAAAATGAGTTTTGTTTGAAATTCACAACCAACTACAACCCCCAAGCTGAAACAGAAGAGAAACCAGATTCAAGATTCACCCCTTGTAAAATACCATGAATGAAATAAAATGATCATTACCAAAAAGACACTTTGAGGTATTGTTCTAAACCCTTACAGGACTTATCTCACAAAATTTTAAAATACTTCTATTACATTTAGGGTTTGGACTGTTGTAATCTAATTAACAATACGGAACTTAATAGTGCCCTTTCAAGTCTGTTTAACACGGAATCCTTGGCAGCCATAGCAACTGAGGTAGTGGCTAGAAAGAGTCACTGCACTTTGTTTTATAAGAAAACGTGAACAAATGTGTATGCAAATATAATATATATAAACTTTAAATTAAGTAATGTTTAAACATATGTTAAAATATACTGAAACACTTATCAAGTTTTACAATTTGATTTTCACTTCAAAATTGAATTGCGTCAAGCTCTCCTTAATTTTGATCTATAACATTTTTTTCCATTGAAAAAATTATTATATAGTTTTAAAAATCTTTGCTTAACAATGCGCCAGTGTGGCCAAGTAAATAGAGCGCCGAGCTTCTGAACAAGTAAGCCAGCCGTAGTTCGATTTCTATCTCTGGCAATTTTTCTTTTTTTTTTAATTTTTTTTATTATTTTAAAATACAAAATATTTTTGAAATTTTATAGAGATTATATACAAACATATGTAACAATATTGTTTAATTTTAAAAACGAAAAGATTTTAAGAAAGCTAAAATTTCATACAACATCAAAAAAAAAAAAAAAACAGGAGAAAAAATGTGTTGCATATGTGTCATGATTGAGATACTTATTTTATTAATGTACTCAGGTAATTAGTCTTAATAAGCTGTGGATGGTTTGAGAAAAATAATAAATAAAAAACTTAATAAGAAAAACCTGCTACTCAAGAAGGTGCTGATGTGGAGGCAAAAAAAAAAAAAAAAGAGCCTGTAGCTAGATAAAACTTTAAAACTTTCTTTTGACAATTAAAAGTTTATTTTGTTAAATTTATTTTTTTACTATAAATATAAAAATTGCTGGGAGAAACACTTTGTAAAACGTTTTTTGAAACAAATAATTTTTATGAAAAAAGTCAAATTTGATTTTTTTTACCTACCGGCATTTTGAAAAACGGTTGTAGTATGGATCATACAACAAATATGTTGAAATATATTATAAAATATAGGGGTCGTTCATAAACTATGTCATGCAGTTTTTGATATTTTTTGACCCCCTCCCCCCCCTTGTAATGCTTTATTGACCCCCTCCCCCCATTATTGTGCAATAATTTTGTACCCCCTCCCTAAAAAAATATTTTTACATTTTTTTAGGGAGGAAGGGGGTCTATAATTTGCCAATAATGTCTATAATTCTTTGCGCTTCTTTGAGTTAATTAATTAGTACTTTCTAGTCTGTTTATTGTTTTTTTAAAAAAAAACAATAAACAGACTATTGGGGAATAGTGCCATGTAAAGTTGTATAAATTGACATTGCTCTCCTAAACATATCAATTTTAAAAATCCATTCTTCCTATATATAATACATGCAAAATATTATATATATAATATATAATAAATAATAACATATTACACATTCAAAAATATTGTTTTATAAATAAAATTTTCTTTGAACCAGAATTGTAAGCGTGGCCAATGGATTCTGCCTCCAGCTAGTAAACAGAGGGTTCCAGCTAGTAAACAGAGGGTTTTTGTTTCTCGGTGTAAATTTTTTTTTTTTTTAGTTAGTGCGCAAAGATCGTTTTTTTGTTGCTGCACACTTTTGTGCACCAACTAAATAAAGTTCTGCACTTGAGCCATATAAATTCAAAGCGCAAAATGTGCACTGCACATAAAGCTAAAAAAATAGTCTGTTAACAGGCTGTAACTACTCCGTTAACGAAGTGTACATCCACTAAGTAAAATATAGGCGTAATTGATTTTACAATCAACATGTAGATACATCAACTGAGGGTTTTGGTTTAGTCAGATACTCTTTTAGTTAAAAGAAAAACTTTTCTAAAAAAAAAAAATTTGCATCACAAAATTGAGACCCCCCTCCCCCTTGTAACAAATTATATATATATATATATATATATATATATAATATATATATATATATATATATATATATATATATATATATATACATATATATATATATATATATATATATATATATATATATATATATATACATATACATATACATATATGTATATTTATATATATATATAAATAACAAATAGATATAAACAATATATATATATATATATATATATATATATATATATATATATATATATATATATATGTATGTATATATATATATATATATATATATATATATATATATATATACATGTATGTATATATATATATATATATATATATATATATATATTATATATATATATGTATATATATATATATATTTGCTCCCACCCCCTAAATGTTTTCTATCTAATACAAAAACACAAGGTTTAAAATTTTTTTGAATAAAAAATATTTCAAGGGGACCCTCAAGACCCTTGAACATTTAATGGGTCCCTAATATTTTCAAAAAAAAAGTTTTTCAAAAATATGTCAACCTGGTACTCAAATGAAGCAAGTGAATTATATAAAAATTTCAAAAATTTTTGAAATTTTTTTTATAATTTATTTGATTCAAAATTTTAACTTATCAAAATTATCATAAAAAAACGTAAAAATACATTTTTTTTCATATTTTGATAAAAAACGTAACTTTTTAAGTAGTAATACCAAAAATAACAATTTTTTTAAAAATGAATATTAGTTTTTAGTAAACCGTTAAAGTTACAATTTTTATGCGTATGTGATGTCACTTTTTGGCAAAAAACTAGAAAAACAAAAAAAAAAAAGGTTTTATTTAAATTTTTTAAAAAAACTTCTATTAAGATATATAGAATATATTTATGTGATACACTCTAATAAAGAAAAAAACTTAAAAAAAAAAATTTATTACTATTGTAATAAATGCAATCTCTTATCCGTGGAATGATATATCTATACAGTATTATATATTTTTATGCATTTGTATTTAACAAATTTAAAATTAATCAAAAAATTTAAGATAAATGCAAAAGAAATTTGATGCATAAACGTTTATTTTGCCACAAACCGACATCAATGCGCAAAAATTTTTTTCGCTTAACTTTTAGATAAGGGTTTAATATTATTCTTTAGTTTGTAATCATTATCATAAGAATGAACTTTTTTTTTTATGACTATGTTTTAATGCTTTAAGATCTTCTTAGTTCCATTTGTATAGTGTTACGTACAAATGTCTGTAAGTGTAAGCATCTTTAGCATATGTTAAGTTTGCAAGTATTAAATGGAATAATCTTGTATAATACATCTATAAAATGAGAAAACTTCAAAGTTTTATTTTAAATTTTAGAAATCTTTTTTGCTATAAATGTGTAAGCAAGATCAAAAAAAATTTAAAATTTATTACGCAAAAAGCTCTTAAACCCCCCAAAACAACACTGATGACAGCGCACTTAACCACTGAGCTACTAATGAAATGCATTTAGTAGAAAAACAAACTTAATTATAAGTCTCTTATAAGCTCTATGTATGCAGAAAAAATGGGCATGTTAATTTTTTTACTCTTAAAGTTTTTTTTCAGAACAAAATTATTTTACTAAAAAGTATTGAAGTAAATAAGGAATAGGTATAGAAATAATTGGTATGGAATAGATATGTATAGAAATAGTAGGTTTGGTAAAGACCCATATTTTACGGATCCCAAAAGCTAGGATAAATAAGAAAAAAGTATTAAAAAGTTCGCTTTAGAATAGATTTACAAAGACCTGTATTTTTATGGGTCTGATCTCAGCTAGTTATAATGAATACAATAAAAGAAACAATAGCTATTGTTCTTGCATTAATTTATTTAGAAATAGTAACAATATCTATTATATACAATTATTGTAATACTGTAATACAATAACAGTAAATATTGTATTGTAATTCAACTTTATAATACAATAACAGTATTTAAAAAAAAATTAATGTAATGTTCCAAAACAATAACAGTAAATATTGTATTGTAATTGATCTTTAGGATACAATAAGAATATCTAAGAAAAAAAGTGTTAAATGTTATGTTAAAATTAAAAATGTTTTACTAGTCTAGTTGCCATGCCATGCAATCTTAAAATAAGGTGCAACTAATATTT